TCCTGAATCAAATGAAATGCCTACCTGCACCCAGACGAACTCTGCGCCGCTGTCGATGTACACCCCAACCTCGCTATATTTTCCGCTGTAACGGATGTAGGCCCAGACTGTGACGCACACCAGTGCCAGACCCAGCAGTGTGTTGGCCATGTTGGCCATGGAATAGAGTCCAACGAGTCCGAAGAGGCCAGAGAGGATGTACATGACCAGCATGGTGACCACCAGCGTGATGGGGGTGCGAGCCACGTTGAAAAGGTTCTTGCTGTCATTGTGCTTGAGGTACTGCTCGTAGGTTTCGTCCAAGTCGGCCATGAGTCCGTCGCAGTATGGTTGGCTGAACTCCTCCCCGCCCATCTTGCGGGTTTCGTTGAACTGGGCCAGGGCCGCTGCTTTGATCCGCTCATGGTGCTTCTCCAACTCCTCTGGGCTCAGGTAGGGCTTCTCTCCACCACAAACCTGTCAAAATCACACGACCACAGCTGCTTAAAATGATGTCAGCTTACATCAAAACCTTAACATTCAGCCACAGGAGTTGAATTCAAAGACAGTAGCCAGTGCAGAAAACTTAACACAGTAAACGTCTGCCCAGGATATTTTAGGCGCAGAATTTGGACACTGACATACACTTCCAGCAGGCCAGTGGAAGGTTTTTTAGTGGGCTTTGTGCATCAGCGGCATATACACCAAAACTATGCATTCAAATAGAAATTGGTCACATATGCTCAGCATGCCTTGTGCCAAACGGGCATGAACCTGTAGGTCCACAAGATGAGTTCCCACCAGGGCCACCAAAGGACTGTTATCATTTAAAAGCAGGCCCTCTCTTGTTCCCACCCTAAAAGGACAGGTGTCAAAAAGTAAATGCATTACAATTTAAAGCAATCTACATGTGCAAAAACTACTTTTCAAACTCTGCTAAAAGGCCCAAAAGACTGTACTGTCAGCGACGGGTTCCCAGCCGATTTAAGCTGAGCTTACTGAGCTCAAAAGTTATGTGACTTTGGGCTTTACACCTAAAGAAACTACGCATCTGAATCTGGTCAGCGATACAACCATTGGCATCTTAATTTCAACTTTGGATGAGTGCATGACCTTTGACACCCTGGGCAAATGGGAGTGACAATGTGCTCACCTCTTCTATCTCTTTGACATACTTGTCCTTAGCACCAGCCACAGCTGCCAGGTTGTTGGCTTCGGCAGTTGCCTAAGTGAAAAAAAAGTAACTAAATTCACAAGAGGCCATGACTGAAGCAAGAAGCCTTTGATAAAAGGCTAGTATCTCAAATACAGAGGAAAAGTTAGTATATCAAGCCATAATGCTGGGTGGAGTCAGGTTGGCAAATCGGTACTTCCCTTGCCTTCCACTTCTGTGAGCTGGGTTCAAACCTAGGGTGAAGAATCCTTGGTTCCATTTACCAGACAAGAACTAGTATGAAATCAACTAAAACCAAAATTTGTGGAAGGTGCATGATGATATGAACTTACATGTAACATGGTTTTGGGCTCAGGTAGCTCGTTCCCCTGATAAATCTTCATATAAGCCTACAAACACAAAAAAGATATATTAATGAACATAGAGAAAGGAAAGGGGTAGGACTACAAAAAGTTTGTGGGAGATTCTATGGTATCCACTCTTTCATGGCTACAGATGGAACAGAGAAGGCCACTACCACTCACTCACAGAAGCAAGTCAGTTCTGAGCCAATTTAGTTCATTAGGCCAGTGTTTATGTTCGGTTTTCTTGGCATGAAATGACAGAGAATATATTTCTTCTTCCTTAGTTGGTTGGACAGAGGCAAGTAGGGGTTGCCCAACGCCACAACCGACGGCCAGTGGCAGGATTCTAACCCTTGACCCTCTGGTCAGGAGCCACAAACCTTCACCACTAGGCCACACTCCCCTTTCTACATACATGTACCTTGAAGTACTCTAAAAGTGCTCGGCATGTGACTTTGGTGCCGTTGATCTCTTTCATTAGAAGGTTCTCTCTGGACAGGAGCAGAGGAGCTAGATAGTGCAGTTGTTCTTTGAACTCTGCATCAATGTCTACACAGACACAAAAGGTTATACAGAGACATGAATGGCATACAATTTTTCAATTTCTATGCTATTGTGAAGCTACATACTAGGGCCTAGGAAAGGCAGATTTCTTGTTTTTTAGAAAACATAGACTTGTTTGGACTGAAGAGACACAGGAGAGAGCCAGGGACGAGATGATTCTGAGAAAATTGGGTGTACAGTTCATACAAACTGCTCATTCTTTCGCGACAAGTCACCCCCAAATTAAACATTTCCCTCTGACGTGCTCAAAACAAATGCAAATAAGGGTGTAAACTCTTAATGACCAGAAAACCAAAACCCTATGTTAACCCTCCTTTGGTTTTACAGCACAAATGTGCACAAATGCCCACAGTCACTGGTGAGCATGTAGTTTCTATAGGGAACTCAAACATGCACAGGTTCAGTGTGTACACAGTAGATTGCCAGTACAAAATGACCCAGGGTCTTTTGTGCAGTCCTCTTCACTGCATTTGGTTTACTGGNNNNAAGTGCAATCTGATATTCCTGTGAGGGACTGTTGGTGCAGTGCACAACACAACTCAGCTGTGCATCTTTGAGCTGTTCACCAAGTGACCCAAAGAGTGACTTCAGCATAGGAGGGTTAAATTGAAATAAAACTTCATAGATGTATTCATAATGAATGTCTTTACTTGCATGCTAAGTATCACCCTTTAGAAATTGCTGTATAAGTGCTGGCTTTAATAAAATTTCAACTCTCTACTTATGCCTGGCTTTACAAAACAGAAAAGTTCCCATACCTATCTCAGTCTGAACTCCAGAATCCATACCCTCAGAAATGTAGACACATAAATGTACTGACATCAGATTTTATGTAATCCTTTCCCCTCACAAACTTAACAAACAAAACGATTTCTAGCTTGTCACTGCAGGCCAGCAACCCACTGCACCCATGAGACTGATCCTGTGGACTCACCGGACAACCGCCCGTCAAATTTGGGATTCCTCGCCACGGCCATGCCCGGGTGTGGCATCAGGAAACAGCCGATCTTCTCAAAGCAGGAGTGGATGTGACGACGGACCTGCAGCAGCTCCTCGTGCTTGTTCCCACATTGCTGGGGGAACGAAAAAGAGCAAAGAGATAACCAAACAAAACTACTTTCGACAATCATAAAGGCATTCAGGGGCAGGGAGCACATTCCACTTCGCATGCAAGCCCAACAGCCTTGTTTTAAGACTACTGACGAGAGCTATGCGCATGTGCAGTGCACGACTGTCATTGAACATGAGAGGCAAAGAGGTGAAATAAATGCACTCAAGTTGGTGTTTTCTTTTCTGGCCTTTTTCTTTTGTGCCAGATGGGGGAAAAAAAAAAGGAAAAATGGAATTTCAGGAATTTTCTTTATAAAGAAATGGAAATCCAGATAAAACCAGAAAAGTGGCATCTCTGACTCATGTAGACGGAAAGCAGAACAATCACTTTACCTTGATTCGTTTTTCTAAAACTTGATTTCCACCTTGCTCGCCGTAGTTATACTCGTAAGGATAACTCCAATCTCGTACAAGGAACATTAAAGACTAGAAACCAAAAGGGAACAAAATTATCCCATAAGTTTATTTAGTTTAAACAAAGACATGGCGCCACACACTGTCATAACTTATTTCATTTACAAAAAAAGAGCCAGGCTGTCATTTGTGTGATTTTGTTGACATTACTGCAATAAGATAAATCCAGGCTATAACTTACACCTGGGAGTTGAACATCCATGCAATTAAAAAGACAGTAAATCCTACGACGACTTCAGAGGATGACATTGTTAAAAGACTACTCAAAATACACAACAAATCTGCTATTTGGCTTACACTTTGTGCACATACACATCACAGATCTCTACACTTATTGCCCTTTTCGTGATTCCCTGTGCTTATCCAAAATATTGCGAATTTAAGTCTCAGACTCAGCACAAATTGAACTCTATTGGATGCTTCTAGACGAGATGAGGGGTTATGAAAAAGCAACGCTGTAAAACAAAGTTTCCTGTGGTTGCTTGCATTATGTTTATACATGTAGCTAGCCTCCTATAATGGGAAGTGATTTACTGCAATTATGTCACAGACTACCCCATGCACACTCTGCAGGGAACTTAGTAACATGTAATTTGAAAACAAAGAGCCATAATATGCCTGGACCGAGCTTTGGCCCTGTGGCCATCTGTGAAAGTTCACACATACAGTCCACATGCAGTATTTAGTGTCATGTGGCCTTCTGTTGAATTCATGGCCTAAATATGATTAAGTTGGCAATGGAACCAGGTCAGACACTCAACTGAGCTTGAAGTTTAGCCCAGGCTGTATTCTGCTCATGTAAGGACTGCCAGTGTTTGTGATCTTTCTGATCATTTGCTCTACAAAATAACTCATGAATATTCGTACCTTTGCATATGAACAAATGTAATAAACCATTATTAAGTACATGTAGGGTTTCAGCTGTCAGCTCCCAGTTACCAACTAGTGAAGTATTTACACATTTGGGCTATAATCCTGTGTATTTGGCATGAAAAAGCTGGCCATTATTTGAAAGTTGCCAGCAGAAATCCGGCAAAGGTCTCTTTCAAAGAAAATGTATTTGTCCAAATGACATCCAATTTAAAATAATCTATTATATAAATGAATTGGCCTGAAACTTGGAAATGTACAATGTACATACATGTACACCTAGTGATGAGAATTTTGGACAAAACCAGCATCCGAATGCCACGACCGGCTGAAAGACAATACATGTACCTGTACCAATGGACGTTGCCCTGAGCTGAAGTGCACCCTGATAGGCAAAGACACAGGTTGGTGGGAAATTTCTGAACTGAGCTAATGCACACGTCTAGTACACAAGCGAAGACAATACATTCGAACATAAATTGGCTTTGTGCGCTTGGTGTGCGCTGTGCCAAATGTGTATAAACCTGCACGCTTACGCGGTGAGTGCCCACCAAAAGGACCATCATTTCCATGTAAAAACATGCCCCCCTCTTGTTTTGCTTGGAGCGGATTGGCAACAGTTACTTCCTCTAGCTGTGTGCTGCTCCCAGCTGAATCCAGATGACTGGACACGAAGTCTTCTTTCTGTTACACACAAATCTGGGCAAGCAGGTCTTGGGTCACAGGTCTAGTACCCACCTGGAATGGCTTGTCACTGCTGTTCTCCATGGCCAGGCGACCATACTCTGTGAAGAGCTGTAGATGTTGCAGGTCATCCTCTTGTATATTCTGGCTCAAGTTATACACCTAAAAGAACAAATGGAGGGGGATGAAATGTCGAGGATGGTTTCTCAAACTGTGAGACGTAAAGGTGCCTGAGTGCAGCCAGTAACACACTGTCCTTGACAAATGAATAGTACCGATCACAATAAATGTACATGTATGTAGTGGGCATGGCAAATACTGTGCAACATAAAAACAAGAGACCTGGATTTAACATACATTTATCACTCGTTTGATGTAAGGCTATGTCTTGAAGTGTTAGCTTTATATGAAAAGTTGCTGCAGCCACTAGCCAGACTTTGGCTCAGCCTATTATCAGCAGAAAGCCCTATTCAGTTTTACATTCCTTTGTTCAAAGAGTTATCACACTCTTTTATGCATCCTGCAAACAGCACCTGCTCACCAGCAAAGCAGAGAGAGATTGGGCAGGTTCATCTGAGAGCTTGCCAAACAAATGGAGACCATACATTCCAATATCAACTGGTCATTTGAGATCAGTGTATCCTGTGCTACGTGCGCATAAACGTGGGACACACGTGGTGAGTTCCCATCATGCTACTTGTATGTAAACGCATGCAGTCTCTTGCTCTCCCATGGAACAGATTGATATGATTTCTCGGTGGATATCAGCGATTATAATATGAGTATTATACAGTATTATATACAAGTAGTATATAGTATTATATAGCGATTATAATGTAGTATGTAGTGGGCTCCTATGCCGTTTTGTACCAACGATGCACATTTTAACACAAGTGTATATCACTGATTTTGATGTAAGGCGATGTCAAATGTTTTGGCTGTGACCAGCAGTAACACATGCAGGTATCTATAGAAAGACAAGGCCACTTGACAGACTATAGATTGAGGTTATTATGCGCACCAGGTGTCACAAAGAGTAGATTACAAATTCTCCATCACACTATTGCTCCCCTATTACAGACAAAAACTCTGCCCACATTGAATGCACTCAGTGATTCACACCAAAAGTCTGGGAAGGCTAACATATCAATCGTTACCATCATATACGTACCTGAACAGAGCTTGTCATGGTGCTGAGAGCAAAGACGGTGGCGCAGTCCTTGACAGTAGACTCACTGTCAAATGCTCCTTGGGTGTCCATTAACATAACGGCAACCTGAAGACAGAAAACAGTGAGCACAGTTAGGGGAGAGCTTGCAAACTTGAACTGCTCTTGTACCATTGCAGCTGGTCTTTTGGGGCACTGGTGCTGTTCAGCTCAAGGGATAACTGCAAGTACAGTTGTACCCAATTTTGATTAAAGATCATTTGTTAACTGGGCAAGTACAAGCTTTACCAAGTACATGCCGCGGAGGAACTGATATTACATCACACTGAAAATGACACTGATCGCTACACGTGTCTCAACAGTGAAAATACCACATACAAAACAATAGAATGTGCCATTCAAGGCAAGTTCAATCAGCAATAAATTGTCAACCAGTGGTCAATTTCAACAGGTACCCCACATATATGCGTGTACATGTAATATAATGTTATAACAGGTGCCCGGCATAATTAACAAGTGGTTAACATGTGGCCAGTGATAGAACTTGCCCTATGGTGAACAAGAAATTTTAACTGTCACATGCATTCAAGTATACGTACATTTAATGTATCACAGGCCAAGTTCAATGGGTAACCATTCATCAACCACTGGTCAATTCTCTTTAGTAATCACCATTACATAAATTACATCCTGAGTACCAGATAAAAATTGACCCATGGTCACTGATCTAACTTGGGCAGTTCTGTTCAACCGCCATCATTTATCTAGTATAGGCATACAACTGAAACTCACAGGTTTCATTTCTAAAGATGTCCGAAATCTGGTCAGAGCAAAGCAGCAACATGTACAAAATACATGTACTGTCCCAAATCAACGGTAGCCACTTTTGGCTGACCAAGACCACAATAGTGTAGTAGCTTGAGCTGCATATGCACATTCATACCGTACATGTCTATTTACTTCTCATACTGCCCTACTTGCCAAAGCTCTCCACCTTTAGTTTCCTCTCGCTCTCCAGAGTCATTTTCAAATTATACAGTTAGTGTAGAAACCAAATGAAACTGCTCATGTCACATGTGATCACAATTTTTTTTGCCAGAAGGAAAATACGTGTAGAGTGTTTTTGGGCAATGGTGTCTCATCTTGAAACTCTTATTAACTTCTTGAAACTGAAGCCTGAAACCAAATCCAGAGAAGAAACCATCCGATCCAACCTCCTCTTCCCCGTACCACAAAGGGGTGTAGCGACGGGGGAATGCCCCCAATAATTAATTCCATGCAGCAAATACAGCTTTGGTCGGCAAATGAATCCAAATTAATATATAAACAACATACACTAGCTGGCCGTTGGCATTTCCCCTGAAGCATAAAATGTAGTATGCATGTACATGTACTGTGGATCACTTTGTGAATTTTACAAAGGTTAGGGATCAAGTTATAAGTCAGCAAATTGACTCTAGTACATGCCCCTAAAAGAAAATGCCTTCCCTACACCATTGGTAACACACAGCAAGGTCTGGTACCTGTTCTCCATTGGGTCCGGGGCACAGAAATACTTTGCTCCATATCCATATACCGGTGGTTTCCCTCTCTGATCCGCCCCGCCAGGAAAAACCATCCAAGGGCTGGTCCTCCCTTCCCAGCCAATCAGGGACACCCTGCCATCCAAACAGGACAGACAAAAAATTGATGATAATACTACAGCAATTCTTTGAAGAGATATCGATAATCCTTGCATCATCCAACTTTTTCTTCCTCGTCCAACCTTATACCTGAACTTTCAGTATTACTGTGTGGTTTGGATGACCATGGAAAGAAAATTCACAGGCTCACACTTGAACTTTCCACTCTATTCTTTCACTTACGGTACTTCAACATGAAAAACCACTCTAGAATGCAATGTGCAAATAAAATTGCCTGACCTTAAGCCCATTTTTTTATGAGCAATTTGGAACAAAACAATGAAGCTTATGGTGACTTACTGCTTGGGTTGTTTTGCCTACATGCAATGTACACGTATGCCAACTGATCTACTGAAAGTTGAAGTTTTTGTTGTCCACTAAAATGTCACATTTACCGGTCTTTCAGAATACTGGGAGATGTAATATTTCATTTTCTTAAAAAACTGGGAAAACAAAAACTGCTGTATACATGTACATGTAGTACCGTAGTACAAAGCATATTATGTCATGTAGGGCCTACAGTGTACATGTGTACGCATGTCAATGCGATGTGTGGGAGTTGAGGGTGTTGCAAGAAATTCCAAGCAAAACAGTCAATTCATTTGCTTGCATTTACTCTTTTCTACAGAGCATTGGAATTGCTCAAACCATACATGTACATGTATAACTGGTCCATTGTCTTGCTGTTACACATGTACGGTACTTACAAGGATGACATCGCACATATTTATACATGGAACTGGTAGAATATTTTTCAAAACTATGACAAGTGTGGTTAAAGATTTTGTTTATTCACCTGTACCCTCTGAAGAATGGAAACCTTTATTTCCACAAATTGGATTTTAATTAATCAAATAGAAGAGCGTCACTGTATGGATTGATTAATCAAATAGCTGTATTACCCTTGGGGGCCTAGGGTTTACAACATACCCTATCTTTCTTCAGAGCACCATCTGCTGTGCACTGCACATGAGCAAGTACACCTACACAGACATACAGTACATGTACACTGTACATCAAGAAACATTACATCAAGGCAAATATGGTTTCCATCCCCGGTGGCAAGAGATTCCTCAGGAATTCAACGCCGTGGGGACACCCATCAAACCTGATGCTTTCACTCTGCTGTTGATTTACTCTTGATTTGCTCTCAAGCTTTGGAGACATGTGTATGGTACATGTGCAGTATATCCCACACTCACGACATTTAGCCTCTCAACAGGAAAGCCAGCATTAATGGAGGTTCATTATCCTTTACATGTACGTTGTAGGTAACACAAGCAAGGTTCACCAAATGCAATTCATGTCTTTCCTTTATGCATAGGTGTGGATGGCAATGAATGGTTTCCGCACTTGTCCTGCCAAACGCATGGCTACATATATGATAATACTATTGTACGTACAGTGAATGTACATGTACATGCATGTAGAGTACAGTAAGTGAGATTGTCATGTACATGAGGCATTACATGAATAGATATCTGTGAACTGTGCCTGTGCTGTTTCATATTTTACAAAACTGTCTCTCAAGTGGAAAACATTTACAGCCCTTAAGGCACTCCACACAAAGACTCCTCTGCTTTCCATGGATAAAGCCAATGTACTGGTACACATTATAATACATGTTCACTGTAAACTAGACCACTTCATGATAACTGAAGAAAACTAGTTTTTGAATGCACCACAACTGAAAGCAGTTGATCCACATGTACGGGTACTCCATAAGTTCCATTCACTTCATCTTGGTAAAGTCCAAATAACATTTAAAAAAATTTCTACCACCAGAATGTTTGCACTCGTAAACTCTGTAGTGTGTCATACCACTCAAAAACACGCACAATGTACAAGTATACTTTTGACTGTGCAGTATAACTACTGAATATCCATGCGATACTCCCGCAGCCAATCAAGAGAGAGCATTCCGGAGTAAGGTTTGATAACATACATGTACCAACATGTACCTGTCTACCAAGGAAATGAAGGGACGGAACTTGATACATTAAAAGTAAGAGTAAAGCACAATGAGTGATAGTGCAGTGTTACCCCCCCCCCGGTAGTCTTTCAAAGTACCGTACTTACATCTATGACACAAACCTGTTTGGTAAGGTATCTCAGCAAGAAGTCCAGCAGGAATGACTTGCCCTTGCGGAAGGCCCCAGCCACTGACAGCACACACACCTTCTTGTCTCGTATTCTCTGGTCCAGAAGGATTTGGGCCAGGAGATCTTCGTTCAGTTCAAAACCATGCCCGTCGGACGTGGTGACTATCTGGAGCGGCTCACCAAATGTGTCTGGTATCGGCGGCATGGTTGGTGGATGGACCTGCAACAAGCGAGACAAACATCGAGCCACTTGTTCATGGTATTACTTCTGGCCGAATATTTCAATTTAGGAAAAAGCAAAATATACTTGAATACATCCTCTCAGTCTGGCAAGAAATGCTCGAGTTGGACTGGCACTGTACAGACTTTCATCGCCTTCCACCTCTGTGGCCCGGCTTCAAATCCTTCCAAGGTTAACATACATACTGTACATGTGCCATTACATCGATTGCATTTTCAGTCCCAGCATAATTCTACTATTCACACTAATTTTGCTGTAGTGATTTCTCCACCTCTATTACTGGACATTTCTTCATTTTCTGCTCTCTACTGTTTGTTCAGGCTTGTGAGTTACCATGCACAGTGCCACAGCTGCCTTTAAAGAGCCCAAGGTTCATAACCAGAAATAAAATAAATGCGAGATTTTGAGATGCTGATGGCAGCAGACATACCAGTCCTTTTTATAGCATTGTGCGTACTCAGAACAACCCCTGCATGCTCAGACCAATTCCCGCATGCTCAGAACAACGCAGGCATGCTCAGAACAATGCCTGAATGCTCAGAACAATGCCCGCATGCTCAGAACAATGCAGGCATGCTCAGAACAATGCCCGCATGCTCAGAACAATGCAGGCATGCTCAGAACAACCCCCGCATGCTCAGAACAACCCCCGCATGCTCAGAACCGGTATGTTTGCCACCACCAAGCATCTCAAAGTCTCTCACTGGTCAACCTTCAACCCCTCAGTGTGTGTGAAATTGAGTCGATATTAACTTACACATACACTGTAATGGTAACAATATTTTCAGAATGATGCATCAAATTTCGAGCCTACCACTTTGGTTCCAGTGGTAAAGGCCATGTGTATTTGCAACACAGATGTCAGGTGGCACTCAGTAAATAAAGGACACACATTTCTCCCTTACATTTCTAATACTGAATCAAAATCAAATTAAAAATACTCATGTAGTATACATGTGGTTGTACTGCATATGAGTTTTTGTATACACGCCTCCAGAAAGATGTTCAATTACATGTACATATACTGTAGATGTGAATGGCGCTTTTACCAAATACAATTATGAACTGATCACGAGTGCCAGGCTCCCAGCCAATAAAATCAAGAGTATACTGGATGCTGTGGAAGAGATTATAATGCAGAGTGTTCTGCACCATCTGTTCTTCTTAACATGCCTGAAAATTAATGGCAATTAATCAAGTGCTCCTATGGAATATCCACAAAGCAGGGCAAACTGATATATTCCTTTCATTCAGACCAAAACTTTTAAGATATGTCTGAACCGGGTATGACTGGCATCAGGATTATTTCACCAACTTATCCCAGTATTTTGCCAGCAACTGATAAATGTTTATCAGTCTAGACTGATACTTGGCTGACAGATGAATAATGAATTATGAAACATGCTATATGTGGCAAGGGGGGAGGGGGGGCTGTGTGAAGCTAAATTCCAGTAGCATTATACATGTAAACATGACCCCCTGGAACCTAGGCCATTTGCTGAGCCATCCTTCTATGAATTCCATCACTGCCATTATGTGTGCAGTTCCCTAGTGGGCAGACCCGTTCACCTATCGGTATCATGCACCCGGTACACGTACCTGTACCCGTATTAGTACAAGCTGCTCAGTGTGACATGCAACCACACTACGAATGCCTCCAAATGTACGTACGTGATTGCCTGAGTGATGAAAGGAATGGGTAATTCACTGGGAACATCATCTACAGTTATACATGAGCATGTCATTTACTAACCATTGCATCTGTAAGGAAGGATTACAATATAAATGTACCCTATTACTTTACCTTAACCTATCGGTATGGACAGACAGACGAGGAAGCACACATGCATGTACTGCTGACAAGTGTGAGACAAGGGCAAGATGCTTATATTAAAAGAGCACTTCAGAATATTTACGTATATTTCTAAAAAAAAAAATAGGGTTTTGAGTTTTTTTGCAAAGACTGGTAAAGATTTAATAGAATTCTAAGTGATTCCAATACTGTATACCGGTACCTTGGTGAATAACATTATTTTAGATATTGACGTTCTGTTAAACTGGAAGTACAAGTTTCCTTTTGAGCTACTTCATGTTCTGTAATCATGGATGGTTGATGTCAAGGTAAAACAGGCTTCAAGACCAGGAGGGAGCACATGTACATGTAGGTCATGCCTTAATTTGTACATAAACTTCGCTAGATTCAGGTACATGTACATGTAGGTCACGTGCAAACAGTACATTCATGTCAACATCAAACAAATGCTACATGCAACAAACCTTTTACGTTTTTATTAAATCATTTGTATACAAAATGTTTTGTACAGTCTTTTAAGGTGCACAACCTGTACATGTAAACTACATGTGCTGGTATGTACATGTACCAGTAGGCATAAAATTAGGCACAGATATGGAACATGTATACATGTACACGTGTACTTGCAATCATGCCCACTGATATGTCCTTGTACATGATATGTACCCGGTACTGAAAAAGCTCACATGAGCAGTTCGTGAAAATTCCGAGCATGTCACTCCACGTTTAGTTTCAAACATATGTTACATGTACAGGTGTCTAAATGTTTGGACAAGATCATTAATACTGGTTTTCGAAACTGCCTGTATACATGGCAGATGCATACCGCATTCAGTTGCATGAGTTCATTTACGTACAATATATACAGTACATGTACCAGTTGCCATTATCAGAAAAAAAGATCCTGGTTTTTCTTATCTTTTCTAATTAAGGGTTGATGCTAACAGCCTACAGTTAACTGGAATGTGCATTATGCTACATGTTTGTATGACAATGAAGGTGCCTTCTGGTAATCAATTACAATGTACGTCTTCAAAAAGTACATGTTCACAAAGATTAAGGAGTTTGCCTTTTTGAAATCCACTGAGAGTCGAAGTGCACCCTCACTAATGACATACCTGTACATGTACCAGTATGTACATGTAGGTGGTGGAAGAAAGGCTGGTGGGAAGTTTGTCAACTGGGCTCAACCAGGCATCCTGGCGCGCACAGGAAGACTGTTCATACGAACAGAAATTGGTTTGTGCACGTTCCACACATTCTGCTCAAAATACGCACAAACTTGTGTGCACACATACGGTAAGGTGAGCTCCCAAAATAGCAATGTCCTGGAGATGAAAAAACTGCACTTTCCCTTGTTTTTGCTTGGAGCAGATAACATGATTTAAGGATTGAAACAGGTTACAAGATCTGTAAAGGTGCACATGTACATTATGTCAGGTATCTTAAAACTTGTCGTTCGTCAATAACATTATTTTGCAATATGTCGACTTGAAAGCCTAAGGTCAGTGTCTTATTGAATGGAACGAAAAAGCTGAGGCCTCAAACACTTGAGGGTTTACCCTGGAACCTGTCCACTGGAATTTGGCTGCCTCAGTGCAAAATTACGAAACTGATAATGTGCTTTTTCCTCTCATTATTATTCTCTCTGACTTCATAGAAAACATCATGGTCATACAGTGTATGTATATGTACTCAGTTGTTCTCTAGCATGTACACGTACAAGTATACCAATTTGTCTTTGAAGGTCCCTGGAAGGTTCAGTCTTGAATGTGCCCACATGCTCAGTTACGGGCTCCCCGCACAAGACTCCTGCGACAGCTAGAGCAACAATGGAGGGACTAGGAACAGTTTCCTGACATCCATTTTTACACAAAATGAGAGACAGTAAAGAGTAGATGGCCGTACGTCCTGGCTAGGTACATGTACATGTAAGTGTCCTCTCAATCATCGTCTACAGATTCTTCACATACAGTACTTTGTTTAAGGTCATAATTTTGATTTCAACTGAGCTCAAGCAAAATGAAATCTGTTGTAGACATAGAGCTATATAAACTAGAGTGCTAACTTGTCTTTCTTTGCGCGGAGAAAATTTGACCCATCCTGGGCGCAGACATTTTGGACCCATGTGTGTACTTGTAGAACATTCAAAATCAGATATCGGATAATGTATTCTAAATGCAACGTACAAGTGCAACATGTGCACATGTCTGTGCGTCTGTTGAATGAGATGCACACGTACAGAGCAGTGGCACATGTTTCTTTACATCCGTAGCGGATTATTTTAAAACGAATGTTTCCCTAACATTCGACCAAGGTTGTCTGCTGTTGCAAATTGTATGCATTCCTTTTGATGGCTGTCTTTCAATGAATTTAAGTTCAGCTATTTAATTTAGTCAGTGTTAAGTGAGTTCAAGGCTCTTGAGCAGTGGCTGTCATGCGCATTGGGTACCGATAAAATCCGATTAAAAACGTCATGGCAAAATTCACACATACGCGCACGCATTTGTGTGTTCTGGCGCAGAGCAAAATGAAACGCTCATTTACTGAGGTGCATTCAGGTCATTTACGTATCGGCTTGGTTGACCTATCGTTTTAGAATGCAGATACATGTATTCAAATGGCCATACAAAAGCTGTACAAAATTTCAATCTTTCCTGTAGGTTTGTGCACAAAAATGGATGCGCCCTGCAGGCATCACTTTGTACATAATCAGCACTCTAGTACATGTACATGTAGCCTGTGGTTGTAGGTTTATTGAAGAACAGTTGCTGGCGATGTCAGCCCTATCAGTGCAGTTGTATGCCAACGTACCTGCACTGAACATGTTCAAACTCATGAGACAGTCAGGTGCTCTGTGCTCAAATAACCTTGAAATACTGAGCTGGCTCATCAGGGTAAATGTATACAGTGCATGCCACTGAAATGCATGCAAATTAATACACCTGTACATGTGCATGTGTGCTTTGTCTTCTTAGCCAAGTTCATTGCAAGCTAAGAATGGCATGGGCACATCAGACCTTTCCAGAGCTGAGGGTCATGGCACAAGGCTTGCTTGGCATCACAGCACTAGTAATTGCCTGATGTAATTTTTCTTCCCCCTTAATGCGTGCACTGGATGCGATCACTGCATATGCCAAAAAGTCAATCAAGTTGAGTGATCAATTCTAGACAAAGACCACAGCTTTACTTGCCCTTTTACATCATCTTTTACAGGCGTGAAGAATAGGTGATCAAATGATGGCAGTCAGGTTTGACCAATTTCTTACACGACCAACTGATAATGAAGTGGATTGAGCAATAGACCATATTCGTGGCGTCCTCAATTTTAGTCATATTCCCCAACGTAGTGTATTGATTGGAAAATGTTAAAGTCAAAGAACCAGACTATATTCTACGATTTCATTCCGACCCCCACAATCACCTGGTACTCTCCCATTAAGGCTTTAAAATTTATACTGTACGTTCAGGAATACGGCTGAAATTGGCGACGCTGCAAATACGGTCTGTTGTGCCCAGCACGTGTATTTGATGAAACAATCTTTCCCACATACAGGTACATGTACAAGATCTAAAACATGCATGAACAAACATGCATGAACAAACATGCATGAACAAACATGCATGAACAAACATGCATGAACAAACATGCATGAACAAACATGCATGAACAAACATGCATGAACAAACATGCATGAACAAACATGCATGAACAAACATGCATGAACAAACATGCATGAACAAACATGCACGTTTGGAGACCTACAGTAGGTACGATATTGTCAGACGTGAATGGTCATTGATAAAATTGGTTTTGTTTACCCATCTCCAGGTAACTTTTCCTAAATATTAGCATTGAGTATTTCTCAGGGTGGTTTCAAGGAATTATTCTTCCATAAATTATCGAACGTGATAGGATGGCCTAATGTAAAATCCCCAAAGGCGACCACGCAAGGATTCTGGAAGCTTGCTGTGTGACCTTGTACATGTACCTGTACTTTTAGGCTCCAATCTTCTACAGCTCTACTAGTACATGTATGTTTAGATTGTCATTGTGTGTATTCAACAGATGGAATTCAAACCTAATGTGGTTCTGAATTTTCCCCCTAAAATCCCACAGAGCAATGGATAACAAAAACATACAAATCTTACACTTTAACCGCCGGGAGGCGGCTAGACACGCCGTAAAAATTGAGATCCTCAGCCCGCTTTTCAGCTATTATTCTTGGCCCACGCTCAAGCAAACACGGTGAAAGAAGGCAGACCCTGGCTCTTGTATATATGGTAATTGGTCTTTGTGCATAGCCCAGAAATGAAAAGACCCAATTTACATCATAATCACCAGCTTCACAATAGTCCCCACTTTGAAAAGAGGCAACGGGAGCGTGGAAGGGTGAGTAGAGCTGCATGCCACCGATCAATCATCCTTTTCACCGTGTACATGTAATTCAAAGGGTCAAAAACCGAGAATTTGCGGTTTGGCAGGTGGCCTTTGTGGCCAAGCGAGGCTTTCGGGAAAAAATTCCCGTCGTTAACCCCTTCCTGCTGGGTGGAATTTGCACATACGCGGGATGCGTTCCCACGGGATTTCAAGATTTTCCGTTTTCAAAATTCTTCAAAATTTCATAACTTCATTTACTGGATGCTTACACCCACACGAATGACTGTATGGTGGCTACTCTAATCTGACAGGCAACCTCCACTGATGCTCGAGTATTGCAGCCAGGCCTGCTGCCCAGTAAAGATAGCCCAGATTGTGCGGTGTTGCGTAATTTCCTTTGTTCCCGAAATTGGCCCAGTGCATTGCTGAATGGCAGTGGAATCTCTTCATGTGCAGCCAGGTCAGCATGCAGCAATACTGCATTGCTCATCGCTGGAGTGCCGGAGCACTTTTGTCCTCGCTGATAATCCGCGGGCACTGAATGCTGCAAACAGTGGTACACTGTTTCAAAACAAGGACGGATTACCTCCGCTAACGCCAGCTGAAAAATGATGGCAATTCCTAGCAGCTTGGTTTTTTGTTCTGAGTACGGTGTTTTGTTACGTCCAGATCCTTTGTCCGATTCAAGCATCCCAGCTATAAAACCAAACGTACAAACCCAACATACCCAATACCGGGAACCCCGGCACCGATTGGTTAATGTTGGATTTGATTGAAACGTGAGATGAAAATTGATATTTTGGATTTTTTGAGTCAAAAAATTTGTAATCTGCTGATCTGACTCAGTGATTGAACTACATGTATGCCATCATTGCTGGCCATGCGTACATGTAGGTCTATCTGTTCAATGACATTGGCAAAATTTTTCTAGTACATGCATGCTTTGTTGTTTGAAATTAAATCACTGTTCCTCCGGACATGCTGGATAATCACACATACATGTAAATCTACACTCATGTAAAATGGGAAAGAGTTCCGTAATGAATACAGACACACTTGACACCCAGCACAAATCCAATGAAACTGGTCTGAAAAACGGTGTTTTCTACATGAATACCTCAATGTTTTCCCTACTAAATTCAGAAATTTGACTATTGCAAGGTCAAGTTATTGCTGTCAGGTGGTTAATAGGTGGCTGTAGGGAAAAATTAGCATACGAGTCGTGACTGACATGGCCAAAGATCGTAAGTTAGGCCTACAGTACAGCACCCCATAGTGGCACTATCACACACCGGTACAGCACCTCAACGGACGCTATACAATCTTCGGTTACGGCACAGCACACAACTTGGTACACTTTAATACCAATAAGACACCAACAGCCAACACACCCTGGTAAGTTGTACTATTAAGCAAAAACAGGCATGACAGGCCGACATGGCAGGGCCATGGGCTCCACATGAACATGATCAAATTTAATTCATCATGTTACTGTAGGCCTATATTCTTCAAGCATTGAAAAGCATTGTCTAATTCTATTCTAGTACACTAATAGTAATATTTGTACTTCAGCTGCAGTTCTACAACTACGACAATTTGCTGCACAACTGTACCGGATGTTATTCGTACTCGGGCCTGTGTATTATACATGACTACATCATGTGATACAGTGCCAATGTACATGTACATGTACGGCCTATATACGTAAACGTACGTGTAGGCCTATGCATTGTCACCTGTCCTGCCTAGTCACTTGCGCCACAATTTTGAAGGTGCAAATTCATGGATACAATTTATCTAACTATCCTAAGTTTCAAACCAACTACGTTATCAAAATTATTTGTGGCACCTTTCCACAAAATTATGCTTTACACATTCTAAACAGTCACACTGCATTTTGAAAAATAAAAAATAAATTGGCTCACTTGATTTCAACGATGCTTGTGATGAGTTGCGATCATTTCTAAGCCTAAGATTTTTAAATCAAAACTATAGAGGGCGCTAATTCTTAATTCCGGTTCCAGCTAGCTCAATGAAGCTGTACGCCGTTGCAGAAAGATTACATCGCGGATCACAAAACCCCGAAAGTCGGCCACAACCACACATGTAGTGTAAAAAAATAAAACGATCTGATCAATAAGCAAAATTTCACACGTGTTATAGATAAGCCTAGCTCCACCATTCTCATTGCACAATATGCTTCATTAAAAATACCACAATCAAGCAAGATTTATTCTGGAAACCCCGTTTACTAATAAACGTCCTCTATCGCGCCTTTAAGAAATCAAGACTTGAGGTTGCAGATCAATAATTACTAGTAAGCTGCTATAGACAATGATAAATACTACTACTTGCAAGAAAAGTAAAAGTGCTCACAAAATTCTCAAGCGTTTAAGAAACGCGTCAAACTTAAGCTCATTTCCTCATCATATATATTTTTTCTTTCAATTTTGGTGAGTGATTTTCGAACGAAGATGAGATCCTAGAAAGCAATGAAGCCCTTTGCCTTTTGAAACCGATGCCCTTTGCCTTTTGAAACTGATGCCTTCATACCGATGTAATCCATTTTGAAGGCTCGTTTGGTCAAAATGTCATAGGCCTAAGCCTTTTCATACAAGCCGGCAGTCCTGTTGGTGGCCTGCACCTTTTTCGTTTCGTCTTTCCAAACCCTACAGCTCCCACGGGCCAGAAAATGCTGTAACAGCGGAATAAATTTTTGCATCATGGAAATCGTGAGTTGGACCATGTGCATTCAGATTATATAGGGCCTATTTTTATCGGCCTAAAGTTATGAATAACTGTACATCATACAAGTCGCCAGGTGGCGCATTTTAAGTGCTGCACATCGCCTAAAACGTGTAGACGCTTGCAATTTGCAAATATCACCCCCAATTTAAAAGAAAAAGTTAAATGATTCATAACATTTAGTTAACTGAGACATGATGATCTATTTCTTTCTACACAACATCAAAGAGTGGACTGGCCTGGAGTTTACTGATTCTCAGAGTGCAGTGGAGGATCGATGATTGAAAGAGATAGAGATACTTTCTTAGTGGTCATGGGATACATAGATAGATGCGGCGTGACCGAACTCACATGTAGAATGGGATACGCTACAACAGAGACGCGATAAAGTAACTTAGCAGACTTTGATGAATCCCAACATCTATTACCCATATCAGCACCAACAAAAACACATAGATCGACAACTTGCAGTACAAAACAATTAAATTAACCCTTGGGAGGACGGATGTCTAAACATTCTTTTATTCACATATATAGGCCTAAAGGCTGGAGCTTACCAAAACTACATAATTGTCGATACGCCAACTCCAGAGGTTTTTAAAGACAGGGCTGTGAACTATATCAAATGAATCATCATTCACTTAGACTTTGATAACCCCTCCTCCTTCCCGGCACCCCCGTGGCGGTAAATGGATCTTCGTGATCTGTTAATGTTGTCATGTAATAAATCAAGGTCAAGCTTTTCTACACAAGAAGTCGGACAGTGACCGACTCGAATGAACTGCGTTGAGGTATAACATATTTTCAGTTTTAACATAATTTCAGTGCCCGATGGGCTATTGAGGGTGTTATGCTAGGTAAAGGTAGGTAGATCCAACAACCACTAATAACTGACATGCCAACTGCGGACTCGATCGACTCATGGCTGCTTAGTGGTCTTTAAAAGTAAAATAATTATTATTTCCACCCGCTTCCGCGCACATTATTTTAGTCATGAGCTATAAACAAAATTATCACCAACATCAAGAACCGGATACTAGATACTAGTGTGCTGGTAACATAAAAAAGAGTAACTCCACGAGATTTTTTAATGAGTTCTTGTCTTGGCTTGCCACTCGCAGAGGTCTTTCTCGTGCTGAATTTGAGCCTCTTGAGGTAAAGGCCGGGCCGCGCCAGGTGCCCTGCATAACGTGCCCCTAGTCGTTGAGAGCTGGGTCGGGCCGTGTGCCTCCGATTTGAAAACCCGGCCGCCGACGGTGGCTCGCGACTGTGCATGCAGTGCGTATCGTGGTGCTGGGAACTGATGGTAGGCGGTTATTTCAGGATGCAGTTTTGTTTTACTCATCCCGAAAACCCTTACAGAGAACCCCTGACGTGAGATTCATCTCGTTCTCAGTTCTCGTGGGTAAATTCAAATCTGCCCATACAAGAAGAGTATCTCTCATTACGTAACATAACTTTCTACAGTAGCGATTCTTGGTTTTGTTTCTTTGTTCAAGTTTTTCGTTGTACCTCGGGAATCATTTGCTGTTCGCTTTGCTGGTCATGCTCTGTTTTGAAATCCATACTCATTTATAGCAAGTTCAGATTCTTTCTTGTTTTTAATTTTTTTATTTATGTATTATATCGCATTTTGCTCGTTTTCTATTTTATTCATTGTCTGTTTTTGATAAGGGCGTCTTGGCCATAAACTTCGACTTTTGTACCTTTATCACTGTTCCTTCTTTCATTGTGTCGCGTGTTTTCCTTTATTGTTTGAGTACATGTAATTAAGTTTGAACATAACTGTACATGACTGTACGTGACTGTTACTTTATTTTTATCACATCATAATTATAGAAATATCAATGTGTATTATGTGTTGCCCGACGCGATTATGGTCGAATCTAAAGTTGCTTTAGTTTGGTACCATTGAAATAACCTTTGACTGGACACAAACTGTTTGAGTTCTTCATGACGAAGAGGGCACCAGTGTCAGTCTCGATGCCATGGGGCGAGATTCAGGGATGTGCCATTGATATTCATTATTTCTCGTAAAACACGTAGAAGTAAAACTAATGAAATGATATGGTTGGAATACACAGGCAATCCTGTTTCAAAGATTAATAATCAAAAGAGACGATTTCTTTGCTTGAGCTTTTCAGGTCAAATCTACCGGCGAACGCGGACCGGTACTGAGACGCACTCTTTGCCTCCACGTGTTATCCCCACAACCAGCAATTAGCTCCGCCCCACCAAAAGATTAAAAACTAACGCTATAAAACAGTCGATTATTCTGATGTATTGCACTGCACAAATTTTATCAATATGTACATGTAAAACTAAAACCGGGAGCTTTTCAAGTTAATCATGTCATGTCATGTTCACGATTCATGTCTGAATCACTTGGCTGCGGCTTGAAATGGCACACGCCGCAGCCACTTCCCTCGATTCATGCGTAATCTCAAGCCTCAGCCAAAAGTAATTCGGACGCGGCCTAAATATTAAACTGGCTCTAGAGCAAATTTCTTAAATCCATGCTGCTAATTCACGGAATTGCGACTGGGTACTAGACAATACGGGCACCGTGACGTCATGGACTGAAATCTACATGCACCGGTTCGGGCGTATGAATATTTTCAAAAAGTACAGTGTTTCCAAGTTTATCCCAGTAATTAGTTTAATTGCTCACACAGATGTATCTTGCCTGAATTGTTCTGATTGATATAGAAAATTGGAATTAAATGTGCGAAATACCTGTGAAAGAAATTTATTTGGCCAACTTTAATTGGCGGATGCACATAATATTTATTATGAAAGTGAAGCGTCTTACACGATGCATAATAATGAGCTGTCTTTTGGTGTAGCTTTCGTTTCCGTGGTCGAAATATCTGTGATATGCTGAAAATCAGTGATGATTTGTACCTAAAAGCATTGGTAAGCAAACTATTTTGAGCTACAGTGTGATTCTTGAATGTCATTAGAGCAACTGGGCGAATTTCCTAAACATGTTATTTCGGGAAAAATGGTGCATTTTGCAAGCAAATTTACCCACCAATTTAAACCATCTGGTGTTCGTGTACAAAGTCTATAGTTCACGGGTTACTCACATGTGTTTGTGTGTGGTGCGCTGGTCAAAGTGTGGTTGTTGCATGCAATGTGCATATCTAACGCACGCGACTGGCTGAATTGACGTGGGCATGACGGGTTAAGGTGCTTTTGTCGTGTTTGTTGGAAAGGATTGTGTGACACTGGAAGTACAACCATGATTTAGGTGACATTGCACACAGACTCTGTGTTCTAACATCAACTTCTCAAGATCAAGTGAAGTACAGTGTACATGTAGGTAGACCTAAGTATTAAGTAGGCCGAGGCGTAATCCTAACTAGCAGACTAGGGCCCTCTTGCAAAGTTGTATGTAGGCCTAGCACTAGTCTGACAGTTTCAGGTCTTTCAAGAAGTGACTGACAATTTTAGTATCATTAGAAAGAGGGTTAAAAAACAAATCCTACATTGTTTAAATCACTCCCGTAGATGCTTGTAATTTGGAGATGTAGGCCAAAAAGTTATGTTAACGTGAAAGTGAAGAGAAAAAAGGTCCTTTATTACTTTTGTAACCGTAGGCTAAATGCTAAACAAAACCATTCTTTTATATCAAATTTAGCCTTAATATATAAAACCGTGATGTTTGATTCATTTTGTTGTCCATAATCACTAAATTATAACATTTTCCTGGACCACCTTACAAAAAATTTAGAAAGTTAAAAAGTCTGTGACCTTCAGTGATGAGCCACCAGATATTATCAAAGGGCCCATATGAAGCATGGGAAACGTAGTTCCAATCCCGCTTTGTGAGATGCATCATCATGTTTTACCGCCAAGATGGCAGTGCCCTTTTTTTCTCTTGGCGGTAGTGTCCTACACGTGCATATCGACTGCCCCTGTTCAGGAGGTACACGGAAAGGGGCATGGAAAGCGGCATACACATCGTTCCTTGATTGCTCACATTCGACCGGAACACTGTTCTGCACCACCCAAATGCATGGCATGCACACATAAAGCAGGGCGTGCCCAGCCCACTCCATGCACACTGCACGATCGCAAGCATAGCACAGCACAGGCGACACCCGTCGGCCTATCCAGCGACTTAACATAACTGCATATGCCCAAGCCAAGTATTTTAATGTACCATGCAATAATGTCAGTCTCGAACAAGTGCTCATCAACATGTACGCATTATTGGTATATCGAGAGCTCCACGTTTTTCGTGTACACGGGACAATTGTATGGTCAGGGCAGTATTTTAACTAACATGTAGTGTTTGCAGTTTAGTGCTACGCGCCGCATGCGATCCGAGCTGTACATACACGACATCGGTATGGTCGATCGGAACTACCCTGATAAATTCTCACATACGTTGTGTGCAAAATCACTGGCCAGGCCAGTTTTTGTGGTATGCAAAATGCTGAGGAAAGAACGGCTGCAGTCAAAACAGGCCGAAGCCTTTCAACACTTGGCTGCTGGTTCAGCACTTACCACCTACATGTTCAGGTATAATGCGTATCCTACTTTTTCTGAGACCTGAATCATTTTTATGCGATATAAAAAAAAATCGGGATGGCATTAATGCCCTCATGTTTGGCATTAGTGCCCTTTATTTCAGCCAGTCCACCAATGTCAAATGGCAGTGCCCTGAAAAAAAAATGAAATTTAAGGCCTGCTTATTGCTAATCCTGCATGAGTGATGTTGCACAATGGTATAAAGGCATTGTGGGAAGGAAAAAGGAGCAAACATTGTTCCCTTTTCCTTGCCACAATGCCTTTCTGCCATTGTGCAAAATCACCCACATTGTATTAGCAATAAGGCTTAATTAGAAGGCTTATTGCTAATACTGTGCACTAAACTTAAGTTACGGACTCATACACTCATACTCATGCAAAATAGTCTTGCGAAGGTACACCGTATTATTTGTCTCGCAATTTTACAACATTATCACATTCAGTTGCAATTGAAAATACATTTATTTCAATACTACAAGTGTTTGTGTTTTAACAACTCAAATAATGCCTTAAAAGAAAGTTTGCAATAAATTGAAGTAGGCCTACTTCAACCCTGATCATCCTCAATCCTCCAAAATACTCTGGACGCTTTTGGAAGGTTTTGGATGATTAAGGCTGCATGGCAAAATTGCGTTACTGATTGCGAAGGATGCATTGTCTCAAGTTTGTGGGTAAGACCACGTGTTTATGTTCAGCCATTCATAAATTCATGCTCACATTATACATGTATGTGAAATGGTCCTCACCGCTCCAGGATACCATTCACACTGCCTCCACATAATGAGAGGAATTGCCAGAGGATTTTGAAGGATTGAGCTGGTGGGCACTCTTCCGAAGAACATATTCAAGAAGTATTTGAGGATTTTGGAGGACTGAGACTGATCTAATTTTTCATGGGGGCAGTTGGAGGATTTTGAAGGATTGAGGGTGTATCTTAGCCAAAAGGGCCCCGGCAGGGTTAATGAGTAGTTCTTTACAAAGACTTTTTACATGGTACATGCATATTTTAAAAGCTTTGTTTCACTGGACTCCCTACTTCTCGTGACTTTTGACTGAGTGACAAGAAGCACTCTCATTTAAATAAAGCTAGAGAAATTCCAGTCGTACAATCACCGTCAAATGGCTCAACTTTTATTCTCGTCGTCAGCATGAGGACACTATGGCCTTTTAGCCCTAGGCTCCTGCACTACATGTAGAAAGCATACTAACTCTAACAAAATCCATTAGGTGCATGTACTTATCTATGTACTTGTACATGCAGGTCACTGTACCAAACCTGATAAACTCCAACAGAATGAGGCTGTTAGAGTTTGGGTGATATGGTATGGATTGGTCTATGCACTGTAGGATGACTTGCACTGAACAGTACCAAACTTGAAAAAATAAAGCATAGTCCAATGATTGGTACAGCAAGCCAGACACTGCACACAATAAACCATGTGTGTCCCAGCTCACACAGAATCCAACACCATCTCCCTGGGCCATTCATCCTAAGTCTCACAAAATTCAACAAGAAGTTCATCAGATATGGAACCAAACCTGCCCAAACCTCACAAAACCTGCTCTTGGGGTATGGCAGGTTTGGGCTAGTTAGGATTAATTCAGTGCAAAGGGGTGAAATTCCACTTCATGCTGTCAGACCATTAGAATGCAAGGTGCCATACTTGAATACAGTCTCAGTTATGTCAAATCAAAAACTAACAATTCCACTTAACATTAGAAAATCATAAATTGTAAAGAGCAGTGCGACAGTGCTTGATTACTTCTTGCTATTAATAAATTATCAATTTCGATGCCCCACAATGTGTGAAAGGAAAGACATACTTCATTGAAAAAGGTGTAGTAATAGAACTTAAATAAAAGGGACACTGAAGCAACCCAAGTTCAGTGTAGTAACCCAAGCTGTCATCCTCCAGTTAACTAACTTGAATTACACCTTAAACCTAACGCTCAAAACATCAGAAAATTGTGCTCAGGGCAGGAGCCCAGCACAGTACATACCATTTGCTGCAGAATTCACTCAGATGTCGGACCTCATAATCATGGCTGAGCCTTATGTTTCTCCAAATTTGATATCCACCTCAACAAAACTCCTAGTATTTTGTGGTTGACATTCAGGGAGCATAGGAGTTACTGTAAGTTGAAGATTTTACTTCAGCATGGAAAAAAAATTTGTGCCCAGCTCCTGGACAGTTGGTACACGGCTGCTATCTTTTAAAGTGTAAAAGTGCCATGATGTAACTGATTTTTGTATAGAGAACTGAGTGAATTGTATAGCAAAGGGCATGTACTCGGCTTTAGCTCTAATCTAAATGCAGGTTTCTCGATGTCAGAAGCATTAGAGCTAGAGTTATTCAAGCTACCAATTAATAGTTATGTGTCTTGTGGTGGGAGAGGCTGTGTGGGTATAATCCTAACTTGACGCTACAGTGTAGGAGTATTTTGTCCTTCTAAAAGCTACTTTAATCCATTGTGCCCACCCAGGGTCAGGTTAGATTAGTTGATTTGTAAGAAAGCACATTCTAGTCACCACGACATACAGGGTAGGGCCTCAGCGTGTGAAATTAGATCAAAAAGTGGTCAGACCAAAAATACCAGCTTGATCAATTTTTTTGCCATTACCACATTTTAATTGGACTAAGTCACATGAGAACACACTTTCATGCATGAAGTTTAAAGGTGGTATACACCATTTGCAATGGCTGTAAGTGATCAAAAATATCAAGAAGTGTGCGGGTCACCAGTGGTTCATCCTTATCACCTTGTGTGTGCACCTTTGCCAATCTATCAAGATGGCCCGGTGATTTTGGAGGATCTGGGATGGTTAGGGCTAATTGTTATAGTTACATGTTTAATCACTTGTACATGTGCATATTTTTCACACACATGCAGAGCTTACATTTGCCATTTGATTACTTTTTACATTAGCAGCAGTATTTGATGACATTTTAGCCCTGCCCCCCAGTTTGCTGGCGAGTTGCTGCGTGGATTAGGTGCAGGGAACTCACGGGGGCGCTTTATTATCCAGCAACAAGATCCCTTGGGGCTGGCAGTGCATTTGTTTGCGAGGCAATGAGTGGATGTGCATAATTGTATGATCTGGACATTTGCAAACCCTTAGGGTTTTAACCATGGCAACTGTGGAGTTCAGTTGTTGCTAGCAGGTGCTTCCATGTACGTGTTGAATCTTCTGTTAACACTCAATTGCTGTAAATATGGTACGTATATCACAGGTTAATTAGTCCAAATAAAAAAAATTGTAACAGTAATTTATTCATTTATAAAGTACAAATTTCATACAATAACGGTCAAACCTTGTTAATAAGAGCACTGTTAGTACAACCTTCTGCTTATAAAAAGGAAATTTTTTAGGAACT